ATGATCAAATTTACTGTTCTCCAAATTGAGGGTGGCATTTGTGATGCTTTTCTTGTGACTGGAATTTGAGACCAGTATTAAAGTGTGAAATTTGAAAGTGCGTGGGATTACGAGATATGACTGTTTTTCGGCTGCTTATTACCATATTTTTCTATGGACTAGAAATAAATTTTCTTTTGAATTTTTAGTGCAAGAAACCAAGCCAAGGTAGCCAGGTTGTGCAAGGAAGTATTTGGCGATGCGCTGATCAGCGAACCGCTGGAATCGCATCCTGTAGAACTGATATTTTGCAACATTTTGTTTTTACTGTCTACTTCTTCTTTAAGCTTGAACCCGGAATCGCTCTTCCTTCGCCTAATCGATTGCTCAAGAAAATAATCATCAAGAGTCGAAAAGGTACCGGAAGTTACATTGATATATTACTTTAATTGATTTTCAAATTAAGTGATTTCTTTTGGGTACCATGAGAACATTTTCAGTCGGTTGCTCTTCTGGTTTTGATCCTCCGCAGGGTTGGATATTAATCTTATCAGTGGTAGGTGGTGGGCGTTATTGAGCCACATGGCATTTGGTCTACTCCTTCACTGCCTTTCATCATGATAAGATATTTTCGATCTACTGCTGGATAAAGGCCTCGCTAAGGCTTTTGCCATGAACTTCCTCAATCCCCCTCTAACGCAGTTGATCTGCAGACTTTTCTACTGACCGTCTACTCTCTTCTGGGATCCAGTCTGATGTCCCTCTTGTCCAGCGATGGAAAGCCCTTCTTCAAACATGTCCTACGTGTTGTCACTTCACTTTCTTAACTTTGGCAATGAAACAGCAGATCTCCTGCTGGTGCTCTCATCCGTTCGTTTGATCGTCCAGCTTTTACCTGTTTCTTTGTATACCCAAAATACACCCTTCCGTGCTGCATTCCAGTTTATGAATAGGGTCGACGTTTCACATCCATAGGTTAACGCTGCTTGGGGGGGGGTACACATTGATCGAAAAATTTCCATAACAGGGGTAAGAGCAGTTTCTCGAATAAAGCTGTTTTAATCCGTCGGGAAGAATCCAACCCTTCTTCTGTATCGCACAGCAGAGATGAGCTTTCTCAAATGGACGTAGTTTTATATTCCTTCAAGAGGAAGTACTTCAACAGGTAGCCTTGGCTGCTTTTCACGGTGGCCTTCGATCTGGGTTAAAATCAACTCGCAAGCTGTAGCGTCGCAAATTTTTGAGCCTCTTCCCACAGGTTTTGCGAAGAAGCTTCGCTGCTGCTGCGTGTTCAGTCTTCCCACAAGGAGATTTTGGTGATTTTGTTTCAGTTTAAAGCGTTTTTTGAATTGAAGCATTCCCTCCACAGAAAATTTCGAAAATTGCTAAAATCAAAACGGCCTTTGTAGGCGAATTTAAGGTGTTTTTTCAAGCCTCGAAGGTCGCTGATGTGCCATCGAACAGTTCAGCCGAAGCCGAAGGGCCACATGTCGATGGGCCTTCGAGCAACGAATTCGACATATCTTCGACAGTCGAGTCGTTCGCTTCCAGTTCCGACTCTGATCAAGACGAGGAAACCGATTCGAACAAAGCTGAGGTTTACTTGCGGTTTGAAAATGTTCCGTCCAGCCTTTATGAATTCAATGCCTCTTAAGAAAAACATCGAAGTCACAGCCGAACTCGCAGCCTTGGTCAACTATCTTCAGAGCAGCAAGTTCAGGTCCTTCAAAGAATGTGAGGGTGAGCGTTTCATTATTTACTAACGGTCTTTCGCTTAGAACGTAAAGTGTGTAATTTTTGACGAAAGAATGACTATCAAACGATTTTAACTTAATCAAACATTCAAGCAGTCAGATTATGATTATAATTTCTGTCACGGTACCGTTATCAGCTTTAGCTTTTTTTATTCACAACAGGATAGGGCACAGGTGGCTATATGCAATCAGCCCATCTTACCAGGCTTTAATCAGGTAGTCACAACAATCCACTGCAGTTCGTACCTCGTTTTATTGAAAAACACTTTGGCACCATGGGACGGGCGAGCTAAGTAGGAGTTGCAGCTAGTCGATGTCTATCTTAAAATAATTGGGACCAAACCGTTTATGCCAAGGTGACAGTTCAGAGCTGATAGACCTATTATTATTGGGGCATTATTGCCATAATCGCCATGGTTATTATTTAATATTTTTTTATTTAAATGACGTACTGTCAGCAACCAAGGGCTACTTATAGCCAATGGCTGTGACCTGTTAAAAAAATCATTTGTTACATCCAAGATTTTCCGTACTATTCAGGTTGCATGCGATATAACTGTTTCCTGACAGTTTCATTATAGCATTTTTGGGAGCTTCAGGTGATCTAATCTCGTTCTCATAAGTTTTGAAATGAGGCTGTTTGCAAAGATAACCGATGGTTTTTATGATACAGTTTTAACTGATATACCTCTTTCACGTGAATACCTAAGTTTTGATATTTCCTTATTCCTCTTTGTTTTCTACGCAGTTTATTACGATGGAAGAACAACATCAAGATTTTCTGTTGTCTTGTTCTTGTGATCCAATGTTAGTCAAATCATCTGACTGATTGTGATCAGCGGCGCGATCAGTGAGTATATGGAGGCCTAAAAAATGATACACTGGCCAACATCAATACACTCATCGGATTGAATCGATAATGCGGCTTAGTTTCTGAGATTGGGCCTCTTTCAAGTGCCGATTGCTGAATGCTTAATGATCTGTGCGATGCGTGAGATATGGGCAATAGCAAAAACAGCCACCTGTTATATGTTACATTGATTCTGATGTACCGTCGTTCA